GCGACCCGGCCCCGGATAAGCGGAAGAAAATGGATGGATGGTTTTCCAAATCTAATCAGGCTTTTTAGTTACTTGTGCTAAATCTGCTAGCTCTTAGCTTAGCGCTGCAACAGAACTGGAGAGAGAACAACATGGCAGCAACCTCCACCTACCAGCATCTCTCTATTAAACTAACAGGCTACAAAGTGAAGGCCAGCTATAGTCCCGGTAGATCAGCTGATCTCAGTGTCAGGCAACTTTCACACAGACCTCACACAGAGCATCTTATTTAAGTTCCCTAAGCATGACCATAGCTTCTTTACATCTGCAAGCTACTTTGCAACCCTCCTCTACCACAGCTTCTCCTTCCATGCCATTTCTTACTTAATCAATGTAATATCTGTTGATGGTTCTTGCTGCTGCTCTTCTGAAACAAACGTAAGATTCTCTTGACTTTAGCGGTTCTGACTGATTTACTGTTTTTTGGTAGGAAACCCTCATCAAACAACAATAAAACTTTGTCTTATGCTATATCGTGACAGTTAGGTGAAATGTCACGATATAGCATATAGCACTGCTAGTTCTGACACATTTATCATGAATGTTAGCTGATATATTCACCTGCCAGTGGTCGTGAGGACTATAATCGCCCCGGCACAGCATTTGAATGAAGACTCCACTGCTCCGATCGCCGTGACCTCCGTGGGGTCAGAGGAGAGAGGAGTAAGGCGGCGCAACTCCTCAAAAAGCTGCTGGTGGAAAATGGCCGCCTCTGCCTCCCTACAGATCTGAGATAGAGCGACAGAGACAGGGAGAGGGACAGACAGAGGGTTAGAGCATTATCAGAGGGCACTAAGTCAGACGCAACCGAATGACACCATGTGCACACAGAAACACACACCGAATGCATCATTGCAACTGACTCCACAGGAAACAGTCCCTTGGCAGTTTCTCCAGATAGCATTACACAGTCAGCTCCATCCAGCACGGCATTGGCAACGTCACTGCCCTCTGCTCTAGTTGGCCGTCGGTGGGTCACCATGCTCTCAAGCATCTGCAAATGCACAAAAACACACAAAGACACACATACAATACATTTCAGCTATAACCAAAACGTCTCTATAAGGTACTATAAATGGATTTCACCAATGAGTCCATCAAAAATAAGCCACTCGGAGTCTTTGTCAATTTTTGTTCATTTTGACAAAGTGATATGGGCGAGCACGAAGACAGGGGGTAATGGCTTTGTGGATGGATAGATGGTAGAATAGGAGTAATAAGAGATCATTTAGACTGAGGCAGGCGAGTGCGAGTTAGAGAAATCGTTATTGGTATGCTGGAGACTCAGTGTTATGAGTCAATAAGCAAGGCAGACAGTTGGAAAATGAGATAGCTTGCAGCATGGCCTGTGAGACTGCATTTTTAGTTAAGAAGCTCCGACTAATGCTGATTAGTGCATGTGTGTGGGTGTTGTTTGTGGGCTCAGGTCTCGAGTAGCAAACCTGCTATAACGCTGTCACTCCGAGTCAAGAGCTGTAGCATAAACAAAGTACAGCACTGTGACTCAACATGGCTGCGGGAGTGTTGCACGCATGTGTGTGTGTGTGTGCATGTGTGTAAAAGCAGAGGGGTGTGAAAGAGAGGGAATGTGTGCATCTCTGAAAATGAATTCACTGGACAAGTGACATTATGCACGAGTGTAAGGTTAATGTGTAGTTGGACCCGTTTGACATTCGGCTGGCTCAAACTGCAGTTAAGAGTCTTAATCTCCATATTTCTTCTTTTTCTGTGATTTTTTTCTCTCTCTCTCTCTCTGTGTGTGTGTGTGCGCTGATCTCTGACCTGTGTGGCACAGATGACAGGCTTCCCAGCAGAGTTGCATCTCCCAATCATCATCTTCTGGGCAATGAAGACTTTCTCCGCAGGGATCTCGATCCCAAGGTCGCCTCTGGCAACCATCACGCCATCACTCTCAGCCAGGATTTCCTCAAAACTGACAGACAGATTAGAGGAAGGAGTGAGTGTTTGGGCTCAAGAAGAAGAGTTGGAAAAAGAGCACAAAAGGAGGAATAAGGAAGATTCTACATGTTATCTAAAAACTAGGTCTTCAAATGCAGTTTTTTTTTGTCACGCTGCTTTTAGATCTTCAAAAGATATCGAGGATAGCGTAAAATTTTGATTTAAATCCTAAATGATCTGGATAAAATCCAAACTCCTATATGAGCAAGGAACAAAGAGACTGAAATGAAAAGCAGGAAGCTGTGATGCTGATGTAGATTTAAAAGGGAAAAACACAGCTGCAGGACATCCAAACAGGACGTTTAACACCAAATATTCACAAACCACTTAATTACTGTTAAGAATTCATCTTTATTATCTAATCTCTTTCAATTGAAACTGCAGTTAAACACTGTCAGCAGCCGGGGAGCAGCAGGACAAAGCATGAGATAAGTAATGGAGGTAAAAAGGCAGGGAAATAAATTATGTCAGATATATTAATTGGCTGCAATAACTCACGTGGACAGCCACAGAGACTGCTTATCATAGATGTGTAAAATCTAAAGTTGACATATGTTTCTCCTCCACTGACAGCTGGCTGTCCACAGGAGCGGCAGATCACATCAGCGGTGGATTTAAAAGACCTGTCAAAGTCTCGTTATGGAAGACTCATGCAGTCAGTGCCTGTTTGGCTAAAAATAACTCTGCAGAAATGGCATTAATTGGAAATTGGATTTTTCCAGGACTCACTTTTGAACTCCTTGCCGGCTTTCCACCTTGCTGATCACTTTAATATCTTGACCATGCGCCCCCAGAGCGCGACGCACATCCTTGACATCCTGGGCTGAACGGATGAAGCTGGCGAACACCATATCAACACCCTGAGCCACGCCGAACCTCAGGTCAGCCTCGTCCCGCGGGCTGACCGACTGCATGCCGATTAGGTCACAGCCGGGAAGGTTTACGCCTTTACGACTGCAGAGCATCCCGCCTGAATCCACCACCGTGTCCACCCAGTCCGAACCTGACAAGAAAAATGTTGGAGATGCAGGGACTCACAAAGGAGTGGTGCATTGATCCTATAAAAACATTCAGTAATACAACCAAAAATCAGAGCATGGGAAATTGCACAATTGTTGGATAATAAGGAAAATACATTAGAAGTAATATATAATAATGGAACTCAAGAATCCATAGAAAGATTTAAAGTTATACGTGCATGCAGGGATGAAGGTTTATAGGCCTGTGGACATGTTTGTATCAGTACACTGGCCTGAAAAGGTGCATTCAGTGCATGAGATATATGAGAATGAGCTATAGAAGAATGCACATAAAACTGAAAAACCACCTCGCAGATAGAAAATGACAAATGTTCACACACAGCAACATATTTACACACATATACAACATAATTGAAGACGAAGAAAGCCTTTGGACCGTGGGAGGATAAAGGAGCCTGAGGTGAAAATCCAAACAGGCCCAGGAAGAGCAGAGGGAGATAAACACACAAGACTGTGTTGATACTGTTTTGCTGACCTTTATTTTGGTAAAATTTGATTTGGATCCAAATTTATAGTTGATGGTGGAGAAAAATTTTGGGCTGTGAGTAGTGGGATCAGATCCCAGAAAAGGTAGTCAAATATATTATAATGTATTATTTATATAATATTTGAATGGAACTTTTCCATCTTGTCCTTGGCAACAGTAGGGACGGATCCATAAATTGGCAATTTTTTCTGACAATTTTAGCAGTTTTGCGCATTAAAAAAAAACAGACAAGGTTTTGAAGGAATTTATGGTGAGCAAATAATCACCAATTCAGAATCTGAACTCCTTCTCTGTTTCTGAGTTGAACAATAGCTAGTAATGCATGTCTGAATGATTTAGGGTGTCACATTGATGGTCTTTCACCTTTTGAATATAAAATAAGATCATCATTTTATTCTAATTACACATTTGCATGAAATTCATTATCAGCGTATGAATTCTGGCTTTATGTCCAAGCATGTCCTCAAGCGTCCCAGGGACTGTTGCCAAATTTAAAGAAATAAATGTGTTAGAGTGACAGAGAGACAACTTGAAAACGCAGTGCCTCTGGACACAGCTGTCACTGCAGATGTTTCTACAACAGCAATAAGACAGATATTTTCTGTAGGTTTGCTAAAGTCTGTGTAATGCACATTACCTATATCTAATACTCGGAGTCCAATGAGGCCATCATCAATGTAGATCTTTCCATCCTTCTTGAGAACTTTGGGCAGGTTGGGATAGTCCACCCAGATTATCTTTCCATCTGTCTTGTCTTTGTCACTCTCTGCAGTCACCACGCGCACATTGTTGCCCTTCACCAGCTCCACCTCTTCTTCCACTTTCTGTCAAAACACAGATACGAAACACAAAAACCTCCAATTACTGCTCTTGTTGTAAGCAAACATACAGTAGTATTGTCATTTCCAGCAACTGAATTTTCTTAGACACAGGATCTCTGAGTGCTGCTGCAGAAAAACTGACTGAGTTTGAACCGTGATGAAATCCGTGACTGGTTGATTAAAAGGCATGCTGTGTTACAAAAAGCCGGTGTGTTTTGTAGTGTTTATAATGAGTAGTTCTAGTACCTTATCTGAGAGGGTTTGAGTGCCAGCAATGATGAAAACACAAGAGACTTTATACTGTACAGGCATAAAACTTTAAAAGGAATACACTGGCTGCTTTGTGCAAAGCGTTTGGTATTTACTGATGAGGTAACAATATATTTCCATATTTCCAAATATTTGAGAACTGTGTCTGCTGTCACAGCCACACCAGTGGTTGTAAGGTTTGTGCAAAAGTTAGATAGCAGCGCCCTATTTTATTCTTTGTTATTTGTTGGTTTACATCATTGAAAAAATGGGCGGTGGAGATGAAGGCGGCACAGTTGATGTAAGACAACGATGGACAGAATTAGAAATGAGTACATCGGAGGGACAGCTCAGATCGAGCAGTTTGGAGACAAAGTTAGAGAGACAAGTCTGAGATGGTTTGGAAAATTGCAGAGAAAGGATAGTAGAAATACTGGGTGAAGGATTTTGAATATCTTGTGCCCAGGAAGGTGAAAACAGGAAGAACACATAAAAGGTTCATGGATGTAGAGAAGGAGGACATGCAGGTGGCCGATATGACAGAGGAGGACAGTAGGGATACGGTGAGATGGATGCAGATGTGATGAGCGCTAAAGGGAGTAGCCAAAAGAAGATGTTATGTCAAAAAGACAAGAATGGGATTCAAACATAGCACAAGTTTAAAAATTAACAGAATAATTCAATAATTCAATAACAACATTTCTACAAAAAACAAGCAGTCAAAAGTATACATCTCAATGAATAATTCCTAACATGTGAGGAGCCTTCAGGGGTATGCTATAAAAACAAACAGTTTGGTGTCACTTTTAAGGCAACAACAGCAGTAAGTACACCAAATATACCATAGGCATTGTTGTACACAGAGTGCTGCTCATCACCCCATCACCATACTGCCAGTTTATTGTGTTTTATCTCGTGTGTTGAATGTTTTAACATGTTGTTGATGTCCACGCCTGTTATAAATGGCCAAATATACCATCCATCCATCCATCCATCCATCTATCTTCTTAACCACTTATCCAGGTAGGGTTGCAGGAGCACTGAAGGATATTCCAGCTAACATACAACGTGGGTAGTCATTATTATATATAATAATGATTGACTGATTTATTGGTTGATTGATTGGTTGCCGTTACATATATTCACCTACATATATAGTTTTGTATGCTGTAAATATCTTATCTGTTAAAAATATAAATATTTAATAAAAATAGAGTTATATTTAGCATGTGTTTAGTAACTCAAGTGCACCTTTCAATTAGTCTACCCAGACTCAGATCAAATGCCATGCAGATTATTTCTGAAGCTAATCAACACACGAGGAGGTTTCCTGCAGCCTGGAGTTATTTGTTCAGCAAAGCAGACAGCAGGCAACAGCAACACGACCAACAACACAATAAGATGATGATGAAAAGGCAGATGAGCACACGCCTACAGCTGTTGTTTTTCCAGGAAAAGTAGCAACCTGTAATAAATGATGTGCTGCACCAAGGAATTGGCGTATTTTCTGCACCTCTTACACCTGACTGCATGTGACTGCTTGATTAGGTTTAGACTGTTTGATAGATGAAGCAAAGCATGCTCACCCCTTTAACTAATCCGGTGCGGATCTCTGGGCCCTTCGTATCCAAAGCGATGGCAACCGGTCGATAGTACAACGGGTCAGAGGTTATCGTCTCCACCGCCTCTCTGATGTTCTTGATGGTTTCACCGTGATACTGAAAGACACAGACAGGGAATCAATACCTGGCTGAGTGGAAAACCGAGGCGTGTGAACACAAATGCGCCACAACATTAAAACCAATAGCCAGTGAAATGATTCACATGGATCATCATCTGTTATCTGTGATGGGTGCTGGCATTTGCTGACAAACCATGGATGTACCCACTCCCATCCACACATCCCAACTGCACAGGAACAGCTCAGGGAACACAAGAAACAAAGACTGCAAGGTCTTCCAACTTCCCAGATTACAGTCTGATAGATGCTAAAGCAGCAAGTTGAGGTTAGCATCTTGCTGTAGGATATTCGGCATGTAGCCAGGGATCAAACCACCAACCTTCTGATTAGTAGATGATCTGTTCTACCTCCTGAGCCACAGCCACTCCGCAGTGGGTGGCAGATACCACAAAACACCTCCAGATGTTAACCAGGTTTTAAGCCAGGTTTTAATGTTGTGGCTAATCAGCATGTGTGCCGTACGTACTTCATGTGATCCATGAGAGAAGTTAAGACGAGCGATATTCATTCCAGCCTTGACCATCTCCTGAAGTTTGGGGATCGATCGAGATGCCGGACCTGAAAGAGGAAAAAAGAGAGCAAATAAAAAAAAAGCAGTTTCAATAATCAAATGTTCATTCATTCGATGTAGGCCCCCAAATTTTTTTTTATTTGTTTTCAATAAAAGGATCTTTAGGTTTTAAACAGCCACAACAAAATTACATTTTGGCTATTTTTTTGTGTATTTTCTGATATTTTATTAATAGCCTTATTCATGTTATAATTTATTAATGATAGAAATTTTTGTTAGCTACAGGCAGACATTAAAATGAACTGTTTGCTTGCCTGTTACTTTATCACTTTAATGAAAACCCTTCAGGGAGTAATAAACAAACCCATGTCCTCGCGAGGAATCAAAACATCATCTGGAAAGCCAGAGCCAGATGACTTAGGAGCCGTTTGTATAGTGTATTTCCTTCTAATTGTTTTTCATCTTTTTCTGGACAGCAAAAGCTTCAAACTGCATCAGCCAAAAAGCCTTGCCAACAAGCTAAAGACCACCCACCCCCTCCAGACGCTGGCTTTCTGACACGGAGCCAACAATGACACATAACAGTTGTCAGACAACAAACTCGAAACTGAGACTCACTGTCTGTCACACTCACCGATGGTGCAGATTATGCTGGTGTTGCGCGCTGTGATTGGCTCCTGGTTGATGTCCAGGAGACAGAGATGCTCCAGGAAGGTGTCAGCCATACTGGCGTCAAGCTGCTGGCGTTGGATGAAAGAGTCCGGCAGTGTCATCACATCGGAGTAGCGCCGGATGCGAGCTGTAATGACAGAGAAACGCTGTCAGTGGGGTGAAGTTGAGTCATGAAGCTCTACTGCCAACTGCACCTGTGAAAACCAAATGAACCGAACACTTCCGACCGAACGAAGCGCACAATTTCAGTTTTAATGGCAAAAAGGAACAACACAGAATATGCTAACATTAAGAGATAAAACACAACACACACAGACCTGACATTAACTGCCACCAGCAGGAGTCACAAAGGTTTAGATGCTGGTATTCAGCCGACTTATGAGTCACTACTGCGAAAACTATACACATCGGCTCTGCTGATACGCTATACTTTACAAGCAGTAAAGTGGCATTTGAAAACAGAGATGACGACTGATAATATGGAGGCAATATAAAGGTTTTTATGCTGACATTTGAAGCTGGAAGCAACCGTTTAATTTAAGGCTGGTTGTTTTTCATGGACCAGAAAGGAAGACACACACACACACACACACACACACACTCTGTCTCTCTATTGGATACAGTATTTACAGTCACTGGGACTGAAAGGAGCCAGCGGTTGCATTTCTGTTGTTACCCGCTCTGTCAGCTTGTGAAGCACAATAAAAACAAATCCTCCAGAAGCAAAAGACAAAGGAGTGGATGGATGAGCAAAAACCACATACCAGCAATAACGACTGTCACCACAGTAATGGTAATCTGTTGAACTATAAAACTGTTATGGCAAACATCAGCATTCTTGTGCACCCCTGTACATTTGATGAAATGTTCAATGTTTACTCTTACTTTAGCTCTGCTTTTGAAGTATCTGTCAGTCTGACAGCTGCTGCTGCTAGAAATGAAACTGCAAGAGTCAAGAGAGCGAACCAGACCAGTAAAGTTATGGGCATTAAAACCAATTCAACCAGCTGAAAATCTAAAGCAGTCCTTTATAGATCTGAGGTAAACCAGAGAACTTGGCTCATAATTCTACAGTTTCATAATGATGAGTGCAACCTTTCATTTGAGCTGTTGATGCTATAACATCTCGATTATACCAATTTTAAAAGAAAGCTCTGATTTTGTAGATATCAGTGTTTCTGGAGCCAACCCCAGTCCCCTCTCAAGCCTTTCCCAAACCACAGCCTCAATTCATGCTCAACCCATCTGCCGTTATCAACTAGAAATGCTGTTCAACCTATATGTAGGTAGGATGTTGTCCCAGCTAGTGAATTACTTTTTAATTATTTGTGGTGGGTCGTCTACCAATCGTAAGGTCGGTTGATCGATCCCCAGCTTTCACAGTCTATATGTGGAAGTATCCTTAAACAAGCTACTGAACCTCGAGTTCCCCCCAATCTAGGCTTATGTGTGTGTGTGTGTGTGTGTGTGAATGTTAGATAAAAGTACAAAGTAAAAGATGCTGTGTGAATGTATGTGTGACTGGGTGAATGAGACTGGTAACAAGTGCTCAGACTAAGTAGAAGGTTTCTATATAAGCAGCAGTCCATATACCAATAAACTACGCAGTTTGATCCATGTGCTACTCACACTGGGAAGATACCAGTAGGTAAAGCCTTTCAGCACCTTATCCCAGTGACTCCACAACCACCAGTCTCTATGGCATCACTGAGCATCAACCTCGAGGGCTGAACAATGAACTCAAAGCTCAAGTGTCTAATCCTGCAGCTCATAAAAGAGCCACTTGAATATGGCTAAAAAAGCACATCAATCTCCATTTCCCACTTCATAAAAACTGTAGGTGGGGTGATTTTTGTATAAACTCACTATTTAAACATTAAATCCTTTTTAATTTAAGTTAGGTGTGCTCAGAGGTTAAAGTGGGCTTTCATGTCATGAATCCATGCATGTAGTTTATAACGTGGCCACAGTAAGGGAAACAAGCATAAATGGATGAATTTTTAAAGTAGGTAAATTAGAAAGATGAAGAGAGCTATTAGAAAGAAAGGACAGGACGGGAAGACAAGAGATTATTTTCAAAGGTAAAGACTGCTCAGCAACTTAAATGCAGTATCCCCGTTCTTTTTTTTAAACCAAGCAGAGGATCTGCTGAATTCGCCTGGTTATTTCATATAGAGTAAGATCTATGACAACAAATACATGATAATCATTCCACGTTTTTCAGAGGTGATGCAGGACAGTAAGTGCAGGTTAAACTGGGAAGTCTGCAATACTGTGGCTCAGTTAACTGTGATGGACCATGTTAGATTGGTACAAGACAGACTGTGGTATCCATGGTCACAGCTAAGTTAGGTCATGGGTTGCAGCAGAGAGAGAGAGATGGTGCTGAAAGAATTTTGAATTGAACCCTATTAGAGCTCTGAAAAAATGATAGTAGAAGTATAACTTTCATAAGAGCAAGGTTTTAAAACCTTATTCCTGGGCAGCAATTGGGTGAATGTTTAAATTTTATTATTCAGATTTAACTGGATATTTTATACGTTATGGTATGAGATACCAGTGGACGTGATCACCCAGAGTTCAGACGGCAAAATTATCAAAGCAGTGAGGGATCATTCTGACAGACAGCAGAACAAAAAGAAGCCAACACCCAAAGAAGAGCTTTGAAGGTCCTTCAAGAAGCCTGAAGAATTATTTCTTTACTACTTAAAGAAATTACAAGAAAGGTTGCCTAGGGTAGCTCATGCTTTGTTGAAGAATAAAGAAGGTCATACCAAATATTGACTTTCAAGCATGGGACACTTATACGGCTGGATCTTGCAAACCAACAAAAAACAAACAAAACAAAACAAGGCAAAAGCCATAGCACCAAACTAAAGGCTTAAAAACAGGACTTTCTGAACACATGGGAGATAGCATAATGGCTACCTTCATCTTTTATAAACAGTTTATGGGCTGCGCCAACTGAGAGTGTTAACCAGGAAATGGAGCCCATTTCTTTCATCCAGAGCATTGTGGTACCTGACTAAGAGCTTTGAGCCAGTACAATGGAATCCATTTTAAAGGATGTCACAGTCAGTCAAGCTTGCAATTTCGGCCATCACAGAGACTAAAGAGCGTGAGGATGAGAGGTGAGTCCGACACAAGGTTTGTGTGAAGAGGTGAGGACAAAGACGGGAAAGAAGACAAGAGAAAGAACAGTGCACACATCACAGAAGGGCCACATTTTACAAGGTTGTTTTGCAACTGTCTAAAGGTTGTTTGCTGTTTTTTTAAAATAGTATGCGTCAGTTATCAGTTTAAGGACTACGCCGTGAATGGACAAGCAGAAACATGCAAGGACACAGTTTGAACTCTGCAAAGGAAATTCCCTGGTAAAACCAGTGAATGGCGGTTTTGTAGTATAATGTGAACTTGCAAAACTTGTCAATCCTGTAGATTCAGTGTCTGTCGGCGTTTTCTATTTCTCTCCTCTCCACCTCCCTGTGACCCAGTTCTGCCGCACTGCTGCACACATCATTACGTGTCCCACTGAGATCCTCTCCAGACACATCCCAGAGAGTACACATGGAACCACACACATGCAATACATCCACCTGCAAACATCCAGACAAATGTACACACACGCAGGCACCTGTTACTGGAAGGCTGACTATAAATAGACATTAGGTCAAAGACACTAAACTTGCAAAGTATCAGTCAACACTGAGGCTTCATGACTGATTAAAACCAGTTATGGGTATAACCCCAGTATACCAGGAATGAGCTGCACTTGGTCACATTTTTGGAGTGTTTGTGCAATCGATCAGTGAGCCCACGGTAAGAGTGCAGCTATTTATCCAACTGCGGCTGCACTGAAGTTCAAAGACATTTGACATCTGACTGTTATGCAAGTGAAAAAGGACATAATGCATAAACATGACACTGCACAATCAATGATATTACAAAAAAGGGATTATTTAGTATTTTTCCATCAAGATATAGGTTATCAATCACACGCAATATGTCTTGCCAGTTCATATTAAACACTAATCCATAGTGCTAGTACAAAGTTGGATTCCCTTCTTCAGCACATGCACTGACAAAGGTACTGGGAACATTCCAATGTTGCAGATTCATCCTCATCTGCCTCATCCCAAAGGTGCTCTATTGGATTGAGATCTGGTGACTATGAAGGCACTTGGAGCACAATGAAGTCATTGTCATATTCAAAAAAACCGATTTGAGACAACTTAAGCTTTGTGGCTAGGTAGGCTGTGGTGTTTAAACAATGCTCAGCTGGTACTAAGAAGCCCGAAGTGTGCAAGAAAATATTCCCCACACCGTTATACCAACAGCAGTCTGAACCATTGCTACAAGGCAGGATGGACCCATGTTTTCACGCTGTTAATGCCAAATCTGACATTAACATCTGAATATTGAAGCAGAAGAGTGTCAGAGGAGAGAGACTCATCACATCAAAAAGACTAATTGCAACGTTTGTTTCCAGTCTTCTACAGGCCAATTTTGGTGAGTCAGTGTGAACTGTACCATCAGTTTCCTGTTCTTTGTTGACAGGAGTGGCTCTCAGTGTGGTCTTCTGCCGCTTCAAGATTCAACATTATCAGAGATGCTCTTCTGCATATCTCTGTTATAACCAGTATTTATTTGAACTACTTTAGCCTTCCTATCATCTTGAAAGATTCTGACCATTTTCCTCTGACCTCTGGTATCTATAAGGCATTTTCACCCAGAGAACTGCGGCTCACTGGATAGTTTCTCTCTTTCAGACCATTCTATGTAAACACTAGAGATGGTTGTGCAAGAAAATCCCAGCAGATCAGCAGTTTCTAAAATACTCAGACAAGCAAGTCTGGCACCGAAAATTATATCACTTTCAAGGTCACTTAAATCACCTCTCTTCTCCATTCTGATGCTGAGGTTGAACTTCAGCAGGCCAACTTGATCTTGTCTAAATTTATCTCTATCTGCTGAAATAGCTCAGTTGGGAAAGCGTTAGATGGAAGATCTAAAGATCCCCGGTTTCAGCAATTAGGAGTTACCCTTAAGCTTTTCTCCCCCCAAAATTAATAAGTTAATGTGTTTCTAAATGTACTAAATTGTTGTCATGTGGTTGGCTGATTTGAATATTGCAGTGCAAAAGTGAGAAGTTGAGCAAGTGTTCCTAATAAAATAGCCACAAGTGTAAAGCATTCAATACATTTTCATTAAAATAAATAAAATCAAGCTAAACCTGTATGAGAATATATGAATGTGCTTACCCATGTTGAGTAACCCTTCCATTATAGATCCAAACCTACTGTTTCACTGTCCGATTCTTTCTCCAGTCTACTTTTGTTTTAGGTTCTCTTGGATTTTGTTGTGTAATTTATTTTTCTCCCATTTCTTAATTCAATTCCTCTGTCTTTGTCCTTTACAGCGCTAATGTTATTGACTGGTCTTGTGTCACCTGAACAAGCCTGTTCATGTCTCTTTCATTCATCTTTCTTTCGCCCCTCTGCTGCCCCCTCATCTATCTCTCCTCCCACTCACACCATCTGGACTGGGTCCACACAGCATGCAACAGTTGCATGATTGGGCTGAGTTAGCATAAGAGAGCCAATCTGACCTGGCTACAAATGATGCTAAAAATGGAAAATCTTTGCCAGACTGGTAAGCCAACAGGGTAAACTACAGTACAAAAGGACACGGGTGTTCTGCACCGTTGCAAATTATATAATCCCAACCTTGACCTCAGAATTGCAAACCAGCTCTTGCAAACATTGCAGGAATGTCTTAAAGACATAAAGACTTGGATGGCCACTAACTTTCTGCTTCTTAACTCAGATAAAACTGAGGTCATTGTACTCGGCGCTGAAAAGCTTAGAAATA